AGGCGGGTGCTCCATGGGCCTCGGAGGGGCCCAGGCCGCCATCTGTCAGAAGGGCCACCCGGCCTGTCTGAGGACGGGCTCCCGCTCGCACGGCCCTGCTACTCGTGCGAGCAGCCAGGTGGCAGGGTGGGCAGGTGGGCCAAGCGGCCCTTGGCCTCCCTGGTCACAAAGGGTGGGGTCTGCTCAGACCTGCACCCTTGGCTCACAGGGACCGGAGGCCATGGCCTGTGGGGTTGCTCGTACAGGGGCTGAGGCTGGGCTGTGGAGTCTGGGGCTGTGCGCGGCACTCTCCCCTCCCGCCCCGCCACCCCCGTGAGGCTGCTTGGGGAGGGAACCGGTTGGTGCTGGCAGCTTGAGGCCCATGTACCCTGCCACATCCGTCTGTCCCAGACACAGTGTCCCAAACCCCACGTGCTGAGCCGGGGCCTCTGCAGGCTGAGGGGTGCAACAGCTGGGAGGAGGGGCACCCAGGTGCAGGGCCGGCGCAGCCTCCTGCCTGTCCCTGTGCTGCTCGGCCGTGCTGGGACAAGTGTTGTGATAGGACGCGGCCCTGCCTACCTACCTCAGGCCCTTTTTCTCTCTCTTTTTTTTTTTGAAGACGTTTTTGCTATAGGACACATGCGCTTGCCAGAGACAGAGAGCAAGAAATCACCCCCCAGGGGGGATGGCCATGCTGCCATCCCTTCTCCTCCATTCTCCTCTCAGGATCTTGGGCACGCATGCACACGCGCCCGGCGTGAGTCTAAGCCGCTGGATCCAGGACTCAAACCGCAGTCGACTACATGGGAGTCCAGCGACATAGCCATTACACCAGCTGCCAACTGCTGGTCCCCCTTTTTCTCTTTTAAGTTAGTCCTTTCTGTAAACGACAGAGATAGAGACAGCACCCGCTTAGGACCCCAGTGCCACAGTCCACTCCCACTCGGCCCCGGGCCCTTCCTGGAGCTCCCAGTCTGCGGCACCCAGGCACCGCCAACCCTGAACACCCTGGTCTCTGCAGCACTCATCAAGCAGTTTGTGTCCGACGTGGCCTGGGGGGAGCTGGACTACCTGGTCGTGGACACGCCCCCGGGGACCTCTGACGAGCACATCGCGGCTGTGGAGGCCCTGCGCCCCTACAGGCCCCTAGGAGCCCTGGTGGTCACCACCCCGCAGGTACCCAGCAGCCACACTATCACCCCGCTTGGTGCATAGTGCTGGCTACGCCCAACTGACCCGTCGCGTCGGGCCCCCCCAGGCGGTGTGTGTGGCTGACGTGCGGCGGGAGCTGACCTTCTGCAGGAAGACAGGGCTGCAGGTGGTCGGGGTCGTGGAGAACATGAGCGGCTTTGCCTGCCCGCACTGCGCGGTGAGCCACGGGAGAGGGCAGCGGCGGGCGGGCCGCGAGGGGCAGGCCCCCCGGGGTCGGCTAGCGCCCCGCAAAGGCTGCTCCCCGCCCACAGCCAGCCCTCACCCTGTCTCCTAGGAGTGCACCAACGTCTTCTCCAGGGGCGGTGGGGAGGAGCTGGCCCGGCACTCCGGCGTCCCCTTCTTGGGTGAGTCCAGGGATCTGTCTTCCAGTGCTCAAGAGCCACTACCCTCCATGCCCAGCTTGGCCGACTCTAGCGAAACGGTCACCAAACAAGCAGATTGGGTTTAAGGAGCCCTGAGGTGAGAGGGTGGGACGGTTCTGCTGGCCTGTGTCCTGGGGACACCTGTCGGAAGGCGCCAAGCTCTGTGCTGGGTGCTCAGCTGGTCTCCTGGGAGCACCGGGAGGGAGCTCTGGCCAAGCCTCAGGCCAGCATGGTGGGTGGCTGCACTGCCCACGACACCGGCTTCCCGACCCCCGCTGTGTGCAGGTGCTGTGCCCCTGGACCCCGCACTCACGAGGAGCCTGGAGGAGGGCCGTGACTTCATCCGGGAGTTCCCCCAGAGCGCTGCGTTCCCTGTGCTCACCTCCATTGCCCAGAAGATTCTAGACAGCACGCCTGCCCCGCCCCCCTGACCGAGGCCAGTGTGCAGCTGCCTGCTGCCACGTGGGCCCCGGGTCCTCAGCCCCGCCCTGGGTCGCTGGTGGCACCCCAGCTGGACCTGCTGAGCCCGGCTTTGCCTGGTGCCGTGGCCCTGGGCTCACCTTGGCGCGTGGCCTTGGGGTGGCAGCGGTCTGTGTCCCTGATGGCCAGCCGCCACTGAGCGCCAAGGCCACGCCGCTTACACAGTGCATTCACTCAGCGGTGGGAGAGGAGCCGCCTGCAGCCTGGGGTCATTGAGTAGTTGGGTAGTTGCCCTGCTCGGGGGCAGCCCAGGGGGTGGCAGGCTGACCTCAGGCACGTCTTGTAACTTTTGAGGAAGTACCATTAAATGGGCCCACGGCGCCCCAAGTCTCGCTCGTCGACCGCACGTCCCGGCTTGTGGCCCCACAGTGCCCGCCCCACTGCTGGCAGGCCCTGGGAAACCTGGGAGGCACAGGTGCATCTCCTTGTGGAGACTGGAGTGGGGGTGCTACGCCCTGGCCGCCCTGCCACTCCTGGGGCTCACTGCGGGGGCCGGGGCCGGGGCCGGGGCCCTGGGACCCAGAAAGGCAAGTTTCAAGGTGAGCTGGGAAGCCAGGGACTCTGCCCTCACCTGTCCCCAAGAAGCCCTGAGGACTCTGGGGAGCACAGTGGCTGCGGGGGCGCTCCCACCGAGGGGGGTGCGACCGCTGGG